AAATTATTTAAAAATAAAAAGCCATTGTGTCTTCTTTGTTTCCCCAGCAGTGTTTGTCGTTTGATTTTAAACTTATTTGATAACCGTATAAAAATTAGGTTTAATAAAAATAAATCCACAAGATACTGATGTACAAGTAACAGTTACTGGCATAATGCGTCGTTGCTTTATTCTTTAGTTTTTATAGCAATGGATGGAATACCCGATTTCGCGGATTCAACTATAGCGCAATATCGAGTATTATACGCGGTTTCACGGATAATACCCGATTTCGAGTATTCTCTCCAACCTGTTTAAAATTACATGTACTTGCAAATGAATCAGTTTTTGACTGTCATCATTAAAAACACACTGAAAAATGAATGGCAAAGACTGCCTCTCAGAATATCAGTGTCAGGATTCTACATGATAAAGGGGGCAATATTTTTGATAATGAATTCAAACAGGAAAAGAGATATTTTTGAGAAGCTTCTTCATTTGACCTTACTGTATAATCTTTAATTTAGAAGATTGTTCATAAAGACCTTGACCCTACCTGTCATGGACCCTCTTGGATTCAGAACCGTATATAAAGTATGGTAGTGTTTGGAATGTCCAAAGGACATGTGTGTAAATTAAAGTATGGCAGTGTTCGGAATTTCGAAATGTTCGACGTGTATAGAGTAAGGCAGTGTTCTGAATGCCTTTGGGATACAGAATTTTCCTGTAACACTTTCAAACTTGACTTGTGTCTACAGTGTAAAGAGAAACACATTATTGATCTGGATACAATATACCATGATGTTGTGATTTACCGTGAGAAATATGAATTTGTCTTAAAACAAGAAACCTGTGAGAGACATCCAGGCAGAGTCTATGAAATGTTCTTTGATTCATGCCACATGCCCGCCTGTGATCAGTGCACAACACACGCAGCGTAAGCTATTCGTTGCTTGTTATCAAAGTACAGAACAAAGAAGAACATAAAATACATGACATTTAAAAGGCATATTACACAAACCGCCAGCAGTGCAGGAAACATATACGTATAGTCTGCCCCACGACCGGAACGTCACTACTTTTTGCAAATATCTCAAAATAAATAAATACCTTGGACTTTAACCTATATCCGTTTGGTAGATTGATTTTTTTCCAAACTTCCTGCATTTATCCGAACCCTCGCCAGGTTAACGAGTGTATACACACGGCGGCAAATTCAAAGTCTACGGGGATTTAACATGGTAAACTCGTCCATTAACGTCTAGGTTACGGGGCCGGGAACCAGTTTTTGAAGGGAGTACTCGTCCTTTGCAAAATGAATTTCCGCAAAATCTTTAAAAATTTAAGGAATTAAAGCCATATATGGCGTATGTACAATGAAATTTATTAGACTAAAGTTATAAGAACTTCTTATTTGTATCATTACTTTATATAAAGATAGAACTTTTCCGTAAATTACAAAATCTAAGTCAATTGCGTTATAAAGATATCACAATTTAATTTGGATTCTCGGAATTTTCTCCGACTCGGAAGAAAATACAAAAGATTTAAATAACACATTACAGAGAAGATAACATCGTATTACTAGTTGAAACGAGGTGTTCTCCGTGTTCAGAATTGTATGAAAAACTTTAATTTAAATGTATTAACTATATTTCTTCACTTAATTTTGTATTTTTCAAAAATGTATTTTTTGAATCAGTTACGCCATATATGGTTTTAATTTAAATTGCTTTCACTGATAATACAACTTTTACTTTGAATTAAAAATTATTTTTAACAGCAATTAACAAGTTTAATTATTAACTTCGAGAAAATAGTCCGAATCTAACGAAGTACAACTTGTGGAGAATGGATGTTGACATGATGATGCAAGCTCGCCAGTGTTTAAAACGTAAGTTGTTTATTATTTCTATGGTATTTTTTGCGCTTTTGTTGTTTTACTAGCTCATATACACACAAGAAAAAAGTGTCTACAAATGGTAAGAGTGTGTAAATTTCAAAACGCGTGATATTGATGACATTAGATACAGCAAAACTCGCTTAGTACGAACACGGATATTGCGAATTTACGGATATAACGGTAGCGAAGTTATCTTGGATCCCCAGCTATATAAATTTAACGAATTTCTTATACGGATATAACGAATTACGGATATAGCGAAGTAATTTCATAGGTCCCAGTGACTTCGTTATAACCGAGTTTTGCTGTACAACGATTTCAGCTATTTGTATTTGGTAAGTGCTCATGGTTATTGTGCCCTGTAACGGTCTGTATGAAAGCCCATGTGTAAAAAATCTCTATGATTATAATAGAACAAGAAGATGGTTAAACAGGTAGGTGAAAAATTACCAAATAGAAAGGCACGGCTGATTATCATAGCAATTAACTCAAGCTTATTTCTACTTTCATTTTCAATTTATAACATTTCATGTACATGCATTTGGCACATATATAACAAGCTATAGATCTAAGGAGCATTTTTAATTTTACATTAATGTGTAGTATCAACACCCTGGGAGCATCAAAACGGAGTTTTCAATAGATAACACATTTTAGTATTATTTTTCAAAACTTTATAATAATTTATTAAAATATGTACATGTATCCTTTTTTTTAATCAAATCTTTGTCAATTAAACAGGATTGAGTTCTAAATTAACATTTATTCATGTTTATTAACTTATAATACTGTTCTTTTAAAAACTGTATCATATTCAGAAACCACACAAACTAATATCTTAAACATTATGAGAATACATTGGGATTGGGTCCCACAAAGTTGATCGAGCAATATGACAATTGCTTTGAAACGCATATTAACACGTAAAATGATAAAATTAATAATTGTTTATAATGATTTCGACTAAATTATTCAGTTGAGGGTTGCATACTGTATATGCCAGTAGCATAAAAATAGCTGGCCACTTATAGATTTAGATACATCTTAATAAAGAAGCTAAAAGCAAGTGAAACATTTGTTCCTTAAATTGGAACACTCTTGTTTATGATGAAATTGATGTCCTGTTATACACTTTTATGACACTTTCTCTTCTTTCAGCAATATGAAGCTTGATTTAGACACTGCAATATAAGGAGAGAGGCAGACCAGAAACCTCTGGCTAAAGCAAAGATAATATGCATAACATAAGTAGTAAGTCTACTATAAAATTCAAGATATTTAAAATATCCTGTCTCTTTTAAATACAGTTGAGCCTCATTTATCCGTCCGCTTTGTTTTATGGTCAATTTGTCCGGATATGTGAAGCATCCGCATATCTGAATTATCTGCTAAACAAGAAAAAATATTAAACGTTAAACCAGAAGTCTCTGTCGAGACTGTAGCTCTACTGGTTTATACTTAAAACAAAGGAAGAGAAAAGTAGCAGTTGGGACTTGAGACTTCAAAACAGCAATAAATAGAATCAAAGTACTGAAAGTACTGAAAAGCGGTTAGCATGCTTTCATCGAATATGTACAGTGTACAATAACAAAAAATGCATTGAATGATGATATTAAAGTAGGCATGCATATCTTTTTCCAGTGTCATCAGCGAAGAGGCAGGCACACTGAATTTCGTAGTACTTAACTAAATGGTATAACCAATAACATCCCAGACTGATGTCACAAATGTTTGTTTCAAAATATCAACCTGAGATTTTCAGTTTGAAAGACAGGAAGTTCAATTTCAAAAAAAATTCTCCCTAATTGTCTCCATTGGTGGCGTCCAAAAGTGCTCAGAACGAAAAAAAAAATTATGTTGATGTTGCAAATTTAATTGTCTTTCATGCTCTATTGATTCTGAAATTAGGTAACTGTAAAGGCTACTATAGCAAACAACCCAAAAAGAAAATAAAATGATAATTCAAATTCTTTAGATTAATTGATTTGGAGTACTGTACATAGATCTTTAGCTGGCTAGTCTGAGAAAAACGGATGGACGAGCAGAGAATTAATTTCAGAGAGCTTCAGTTTCGTAGGCTCATTGCAGGTGTGACCTGTCATTGAGGATGCTTACTTCTCCTAGGCACCGGAACTTTCAAGGATCCGTTTTTCTTTTGAGACCGATCACTGTTCATTCTGTATTTTGATTCAGATACTGAGTACATCTGTTTATTAATATTATGAACTATTTTTCTCACAGGAAGAAAGACAAGTAAACAAGATAATAAAGTTTTAAGAAATGTACATTATTGACTTTTCATACAATTAAATGTTCGAATAAGTAAATGGTATATGACAATTATTTAAAAAGAGTCTTGCACGATATGTATAAACGAACATATACTGAGTATTTGGCAAATATTTTTCATGAAATATTGTATAAAAAAAAAAAATAAAAAAAAAAGTGTGAAAAGGAAAGTTGTTGTTTAATCCATTAATACTAGTATTTTAAAAATTCAAAGGTTCACTAAAAGTCAGTGTATAACAAACAATTTAATTGTCCATTGCAAGAATTACCTAGGTATCATTGTCACTTTCTTCAATATGTCGCATAAGCAATACCATGTTTTTTTTTTTTGGTTTTTTTTTTTTACTAAGAACAAGTATGCGAATTTCTATCAATATGTCTGTAAGCGTCTGTATTTTAATTTTTATTTCTTCTCAAAGGTTCAAAATGATAATTAACAAATTGGACAAATTCAAATTTAAAAAGTATTTTTACAACTTATAACTTGCATAGGAATTTAGCAAACTTTCAAAAATAATCATTCATTACATATAATTTTCAATTTGTGCTTATCGTCAACATTTTTCATGCCTCTTTTTTTCTGTGCATATTTTATATCGGCTGATTTTTAGAAAAGGATCGAATGCCGATTAAATTTTTTTCTCCAATTTTTTCAAATTAATTTTAGTATTTTCAGGCTCCCATTATTATTATTTTTTTTAAAATAAAAATGTGATCGTTTAAAATCGTTTGTAATAATTAGACTGAGTACAGAATTTATCCCTGGAAACAAAGCTTTTATCATCTTTTAAATAATTTCAATTGAGAAAAAAAGGAGAAGAAAACAAACGTTTCATTATGGAAGTAATCCATAACTGTACAACTTACAGATGTATTCAGTATTTTTATATAAAGGCTTTCTTCGTGTACTAGCATTACTTAAGTTAATTAAAGGGATGCCTTAATATTTTGGAAAATGAAACTCGATCGAGAGATTTTCCGATGTTTTGCAGTCGGTAATAACCTTCAACCCCTTTAGCCAGTAATTAACCCGTCCTCCCTGTGCCCAGTAGCATAATTCGGTCAAATATTTATTGTTCATGAGGGGTGCCTTATAATTAATCACAGGCACCTGAATTTTTATCAGTAAGTCTCTAAATTAGCCAAATATCGAAACATTCTACCCCCTCTATATATAAATACACAAGGTGTCCGACGCCATTTTGACCACCTGTTCGATTCAGGCTTCAGTTTAACACATAAATCGGAAATGCCTACTGGTTTTCGTGTAGCATTGGGTTCAAATATGATATTTCTCGCTATACATTTCTTCCTAAAGTTTAAATCTAACGCGTTGATAATGTTATTATCTAAACTTCATGCTGATTTCGAATTTCGTCACAGGGCCCGATCGCCATCAGCTAATGTCACGGAAATTTAATCTCAACACCAAATGCTCCTATACATAAACTTTTTTTAATACAACAATTATAAATTTATTTCATTGACAAACAAAATCAGAAAAAAATTAAAAACCGGAATATTCTGTTGTTTTGATAGTCTTGATTTTGTTTAACATATGTTATATATGTTAGAAACAAATCATAGGTACTAGGTAGAGGCTTTGTTGAAGTTTCCGTTGTCGATAGGTAGCGCCTTATGGAAGTTTCCGGTGTCGATAAAAATCGGACACATGCCATAAAGCGGTTAGCAATGCTAACCTCTTAAAAATGATCCTTGTCACTCATCAAAATAAAAATCGATGCACAGAATAATTGTATCTTAGTATAGTCTTTTTGTGTGCCAAGTTATATGGAAATCGGACCAACACCGTATGAGGAGAAGCAATTTGAAAGAATTTCTCGGAAATTTCTATTTTTAGTAACCATGTCATTACCATTCATCGAAATCAAAAACCGATGCACAGAATTATGTATCTTAGTATAGTCTACTTGTGTGCCAAATTATATTGAAATCAGACCAAAATTGTAGGAGGAGTAGCATTTTAAAAGAATTTCACAGAAATTTCTATTTATAGTAACCATGGCAACATCGTTCATCAAAATCTAAAACCGATGCAGAGAATTATGTATCTTAGTGTAGTCTACTTGTATGCCAAGTTATATTGAAATCGGACCAAAAGTGTAGGAGGAGTAGCATTTTGAAAGAATTTTACAGAAATTTCTATTTTTAGTAACCATGGCAACACCGTTCATCGAAATAAAAAACCGCTGCACAGAATTATGTATCTTAGTGTAATCTACGTGTGTGCCCAGTTATACTGAAATCGGACCAAAACTGTAGGAGGAGTAGCATTTTGAAAGAATTTCTAAGAAAATTCTATTTTTAGTAACCATAACAACACCATTCATTGAAATCAAAAACCGATGCACAGAATTATGTATCTTAGTATAGTCTACTTGTGTGCCACGTTATACTGAAATCAGATCAAAACTGTAGGAGGAGTAGCATTTTGAAAGAATTTCACAGAAAGTTCTATTTTTAGTAACCACGGCAACACCGTTCATCGAAATAAAAAACCAATATACAGAATTATGTATCTTAGTGTATTCTACTGTGTGCCAAGTTATACTGAAATCAGACCAAAATTGTAGGAGGAGTAGCATTTTGAAAGAATTTCACAGAAATTTCTATATTTAGTAACCACGGCAACACCGTTCATCGAAATCAAAAACCGATACACAGAATTATGTATCTTAGTGTAGTCTACTTGTGTGCCAAGTTATATTGAAATCGGACCAAAACTGTACGAGGAGTAGCATTTTGAAAAATTGTTTGCAGACAGACAGACAGACGGACGGACGACGGACGCATTACTATCGCATAAGCTCTTCTGGTCTCTGTCCAGTAGAGCTAAACATTTTGTTCTGATGAAAAATCATCCGGATACTGAAGCATTTAGTAATCTGGTGTTCGGATATCTGAAGGTCCACTGTACATGTATTGAGAATGAATTTTTGACGCTCTGAGCACCTGATGTCTATTACAATTTTCCCTCTAATCTTTCAATTGTATATTATTCTCTTATCCTTAAATTTCTTCCCATGAACCACTGGGACAGAAAAGCTGAAACTTATGTGTAAGCATCCTGGGATAGAGTAGATTCTAAATTGTTCAAATTATGAGCCCAACTTTTACATTGAAATACTCAGTATATATTAAGAAAATTCTATAAAAAATTTCTTCTAGGGAATTACTGGGCAAGCAAAGCTGAAACTTATGAAAAATCATTGTGGGGTAGTGTAGATTTTATACTGTACAATTTATGACCCCGGAGTAGGCTGGGGTCAGAAAAGGTATAACAAGGGGTTAATCTTGTAAAGAACTGCATGGTCAAAGCTATTCAGGTAAGCAATGTGGCCCATGTGCCTCTTGTAATATTTTTGTGTGAATTAAATGCTATTGCAATATATGTGATAGTCATCATATTTTACAGGATATTTGAAAAATATTAACTTCAAATCTGTGTCAAAGCACCTTTAATAATGCACAATCTCACCATTTGAAAGAATAAACAAACCTTGATCAAAAACATATTAATGAATGAAGCATAGAATATTTGATTATACATGTACTTTTATTACTAACTTACAAAATGATGTTTTATATAGGTTACATAATTCACAAGAGTGCAAAGTTATGATGACCATGCAGAGACAAGATACCATAACAAAGACCTGCATGCATGCATAAAAAGGATGTTCACTCAATTTTTCAGAATAATGTGTCAGATTGAAATTCATCTTATGTTGGACAAAACAATCAGGACGTTCATTTGGATCACAGCTAGTAAGTAGTTATTTGAATGAAAAATATCTTACTCTTCCTACGTATCCTTCAGATTGGAACCTGAAAATGGGAATTAACCAAGTATATGTATTTTTAATAAGTAAACAATTCATGTTACTTAATATGATGAACATGATCTGAATTTATAATGTAAATTTCACTTTGCACAGATTTATAAGTATTTTTATGCACTGAATCTTACGACAAATTAAAATGTTTTATCGTCAATTTTTTCAGGCACAAATTAAAGTATTGACAAAACCAAAGATTACCTGGTAGTCTGCAAATGGAGTGATCATTGGATGAGCCAGACAACACCATTTTCCTCAGAAATTTTAGGATAGAGACTAGTCACTTGATCTCCATCTTCATTCATAGATGACTGATGTCGACATTTTCTCACTTCTGTTTCATGTTTTTACATGGACTCAACACTTCAGCATCAGTGGGCGCTTGACTTTTATTAACATTTATTCCTCTGAAATTCATATAATATCCTTTAATATAGGGCATAAATAACAAATCATTTATCTTGTAAAATATTTTTAAATTTTACTTAATTAATAAAACAATGAAAACAGTTCAAACAAACTGGTTTATCCTATAATCTAAAACTGTTTTATGTTTGAAGTAATTTATAATTTTACAGTTAAGATACTTAAGGATCCTCAGACAGGAAGGATAACTCTTTAATTTACAATTTAATTCATAGTCTCAAAATGAAGCTTGACATTTCAATCTTTTCGTGCAACAATTTTCATTTTATCAATTATCATGATAATATTTATAACTTCTCAATGTCCTTTAAGGTTGTTTGAAGTTCTCAGAAAGGTCTTATAAAAAGTCCCAATTTTTAGTTTTAACTTATTAAGTAAAACTAGGATAAATAGCAAAGTCAAAATTTGTTTTATCCATATAAGGAATTCATTATATTTACATAGCTGAGGATCCAAGAAAAATTCGCTATATCCATGAACTCGCAATATCTATGTTCGTTCTAAACATTCAAGTTTTACTGACACAGTAAAAGTATTTCAGAATTACTTTGCATATTTTATACAGTTATAATAAAATAATTCCACAATTTTACAATTTTAAAAACAGTTTTCTCAATATTCTAGCACAAATAAATAATTTTTAAAGATTTTAGTCTGTATTTATTTCTTAAATATAAATTTTATTCTTAATACATACAAATTAAACAGAAATGATTTGAAATAAGAAGGCGAGCCGGAACCGTCCCTTGACAACAGGCCGAGACAGAGATATCTCAGCCCTGAGGACGAGACAGCCCTACTTCCCATTTGCTGCCTCGCCTAATCTAAACAGGGCTGATACACTACTAGGTATATGATATAGGCGAATTAGGAATATACATGTTTGTGTATTGGGAAATTGTCAATGAATAAACATACATTGAAAATTTACAAAAAAAAATTGTTTGGACTGAAAACCAAACTCAAGACATCTGCATTATTTCATACCTTGTAAAATATATCTGCGGGTACTTATGGCTTAAGTTAATATATGTAATGTACACAGCCATGTTAGTGCTTTTCCATCTTGTGTCTTCACCAGGTAGCTATTCAGTATCCTACAATAAAATATTTGTTCTGAAAAATCATAAAATTTAATCTGTTTAATTGTTTTAGGGAAAAAATTATATTTAAAAAATCCATAATTCTTCACACTTGCGTTATGTACTTTAATTTTGTGTGTATAGGAATATTTTAATTTTTGGTATTCTGTTATATTTGTGGGAAACAAAAATGCATATCCTGGGTCTGAATTTACCTAACACTGATATTACAGGAAGTTTTGGAAGGGCAAGGTCAAAATTCATTGGTGACGTAGTTTGATGCAGACAGCAAATGTTGTCTTGCACTGGGATTTTAAAATAAAATATCAACGAAGGATTTCTGTGTTTAAAGCGTTGGATGTATAACAAAGTCAGGAAATCTGTGGCACGTGCGTGCAAGGACATCACTTGTTCACATAGAAACGATATGAAGCTTATTTTGACCGTGTGTCACAGTTTACAACAAACTATAAGGGGTTGGATTTATATGGAAAGCTAGGGAGAAACGTTAAGGTAAGACAGCATTTTTTTTTAAAAAATCTTAATACTGCTGTAGTGATATAAAAGCAGTCATTCACTCGAGCTAAATTTGCAGGTAACCTAGCCTTGATTTTTTTTAATATAGCAAGGTGATGATGGCAATTTACTCACCCCTTATGCTGTTATATATAAATTGAGTCATACCTCTTTGCTTTATGCAGTGTATAACCCTTTAATGAATCTTTGATCCCTTCGGTCTCAGTCTGGGTATGAACAGATGAAAGTTTTGTTGAAGACGTAATTTTTTGCAGTACAAATATATACTTGGCAGTCTCGGGCGTTATAGGTAATTCGGACGTCGATAACCATAGAGCACTCCCGAACGTGCGTGACGTCATTTCCTTACTGACGGCAATGTACGGAAAATTACGAACAATGGATGATCCCCTTCCGAAGCGGTGGCCATTTTGACAATGTTAAATCCCCGTAGACTTTGAATTTGCCGCCGTGTGTATACACTGGTTGGCCTCTAGTGTTCGGATAAATGCAGGAAGTTTGGAAAAAATCAATCTGCCAGTCGGATATAGGTTGAAGTCCAAGGTATTTATTTATTTTGAGATATTTTGCAAAAAGTAGTGACGTTCCGGTCGTGGGACAGACTATATTTGCTTTATCCTATCAGAAATCAGATATGATATAAAATTTTGTCATAGAGAAATCTTCAACTATCAAAACGAAATGGCGGGAAAAGCAAGAAGACTTAAGGACCTTATAAACACTGTGATCTGTGACATAAAAATCAGACATAAACGTGTAATTCCTGAATTAAATCGACAGTTCAAAAAATGGAACAGACACCTCATCAGCATTGAGAACTATGAACACAGATCTGAACAGTCAGCAAACAGACCAATACAGTTCCTTTCATTCCCAAAGAAACCCTTTGTTTCGGGGTTAAATAATACTCCAAATCTTTTGGAACATACTGTATACAGGGTTATTTTCGCCCTGTGTTATTTTCGCCCTTTCACATCTGAAAACAAGTTTGCCCCGTTTTTAATTCGCCCAAAAGGATTTTTGTTTAAGATATTATACAGTTTACTTTGAATTCCCCCCGTTTTAAATTCGCCCACACCAGAATAGAGCAAAAGGGGCGAAAATTAAACGGGGGCGAAAATTTCCCTGTATACAGTATCCTGCTCTCCCCTACAGAGGAAATCAGTATGGAGGATGTGATTAAGTTGCTGTCTGAAATCCAAATCACAAGGCAGGTCAGAAATAAAAGTCTGCTGAAACAGATAGCTTCACCCATTTTACATGCATCAATTACTGTGACAGGTGTTAGTGATGTAAAACATATTTGCCATGTGACATCAGACCAGGCCTGGATCAGCGATTGGGATAGCAATCTAATCTTTCCAACAAAGAGGGTGAAAAACTACATAATCTGACAGATATAAGTAGTCACTATGGAGTGCACACGTTGAATGTCTCAGGTGATCTCATTTATATAGACAAGGACCATAACATCAACAAACTGTCTAGTGATGACAGAAAAATATCTACATTTCTAAAGTATACAAAACCATGGATACCACGTTGTGTCTACTGCTCCCCCTCTACTGGGGATCTACTGATTGTAATGCATAATACTGATGAGTATACAGCCAATGTTATCCATTATAATAACACAGGACAACATTTAACGTCAATATCACACGACAACACAGGTCAGGGACTGTATAGAGAACCTATCTACATCACAGAGAACCGCAATGGAGATGTTATTGTGTCTGACTGGAATCGTGGTGTAGTGATGACAGATCGAAGAGGAAGACACCACTTCTCATACAGAGGACCTCCATCAGCATCACGTATTTATATGCGACCACGTGGAGTCTGTACGGACGCGTTATAACACATCCTCGTGTGTGATCTAAAAAGCCACTCAGTACATATGATTGACAAGGACGGAAAGTTCCTGTCACTGATACAGACACGACAGCAGGAGATGACTAGACCACAGAGTCTGAGTTATGATAACAAAACTCACTGCTTCTGGGTTGGATCATGGAATGATAACAAAGTGTGTTTGTATAGATGTATAAGCAGGCTGGACTATGATACTACATTGTAAGATAACAAACAACTACAATAGTCAAAATTCATTAATCAATAGAGATCAAGAGGGTTAACTAGAACTAGAGAATGGATCGGGTACCGTTACCATGGAAAGGGTTCTGTCGACCCGGTCACACATGTTGAAACCCTTTGTCTAGACTTGGTAAAGAAGAAATCCGTAGGAAACTCGATTTCAAATCCATGACCGAACAATTTCTTAAAAAGGAAACATGGTGAGCAGTTATTTAACGACATTGTTCTTGCTAACATCACCATTGAATTTATCTATAGAATTCCCGAAATGTTATTTTCAAAAGAAATTGTTTATACCCTGTTTTGTCAATTTAGTACATAATAGCTCGTTTAATTAAAATGTTCTTGTGTATTGAATCAACTTAATAGAGAAATAAAGTATATGGAGGCAGTTATGGTACATACATAGGGGTTAAATTGAATTAAAAAAAATTCTAGTAATCAATTTTACCCAAAACTTAAGTAGTTTGATATCAATGTAATTTTCTCTTAAAACATTTAAACATGAAAATATTTATCAAAGTAAGTCAAATCTTATGCAGAAATAATGGGGATGCATTGAATACGGTGAATTCATTTATTTTCATAGGGGGTAATTTGTTGGGGTTGGAGAGAACCCACAAATTTACGACTACAACAAAATGATTCTTTTCGTATGCATAACTACTGAACATTTCTTCATCAATGAAATTAAATCCCCATGAACCCATAATATTTCATCAAACCTCGAAGTTTTGAGCCCTCGTAAATGAGTGCTTTTACCTTAAACAGGTTGGGACCAATCTCCCAAATGGGATATAATAGTCCGCTTGGGATATAATATCCCACATGGGCTATAAATTTACAGTGCAAAAATTGAAAATTTTATTTTGGCAATAAATATCATAAATCCGCATCAGTACACTTAAAAAGGAATAACTTTTGGTTGACAAGTTTTCCTGTATGCCCATTGTTTAGGAGATTGATCCCTCGGAAGTTCCTCATCTTCTTGGGGATCAATCTTAAAAACAGTATGGTTGCAGAAAAACTTGCTTACCAAAAGTTATTCTTTTTTAAGTGGGGCAATATATCAACCAAGAAGTCTGTGTTATGACGACAAAACTCATCTTCTCTTTGTTGGGTCGTTTGAAGATAACAAAGTTAGTGTATATAGATATATAAAGAGACAGTTGCACAATCTAAGTTTTTGAACTTGTGTCTGATCCTTTTGACTCTTTGTCAATAAAATATGTTCAAACAGTTTTCAAATGATCAGGTTCAATAACAATGAATGAACCGTATCGTTGCTACATTACACATGAATCCTCTGTTCTTTAAATGTTCACAAAGATTAGAAATCACACTAATACCTTCTGTAGTAACTTTATTTAAATTAATCCTGGTTTAAATGGTCGCTTGTATCATGCCAGCATGTTTATTTTCGATCTTTGTAGTGGAATTTTGCAATTTATGTTGTAATATTTTCGCTAC